TCATCACTGCTCGACCTCTGCCTTACATGTGCTCAACGCCCTGACGCGCCTTGTGCGTGGGGGGAATGGGGGGTCTGGGGGGTCTTCGATGATTTTCGACAATTTTGTTTCGGATCCTGAAGAGCAAGAGCACTCAGTTCACGATCATTGGGAGGTAGACGAAGAAGCTAAAACGCTAACAAGAATACACTCGTCTCCTAGGAGAAAGGCGTTTTGCCCGGGTGACGCGCCATCTTGTCCAGTCGACATGTCACGGATCAAAGACGACAGGATGACTTACCGCCAAGGAAGTCAGTTCGAGTCATCAGATTTTGAGGATTGTGTCAAGGACTATTGGCGACACTCAGGTAGAGGTACGCATACCAAAACGCACCTCCGATGGATAGGCAAGACTGTGTTCACCCTTAGGGGAAACGACGCTGAATCGGAAAACGAGGAAGCTCAATCGGCTGCAATAGCGTTATGTAGCACCCCAAAGCGTATGAAAACGATCCCACTGAAGGATATCATTGTCCCAACGTTCGTCTCTGTTAGCAAAGCCAAGAGCGAGGAGAGCAAAGAACACAGAATAGCTGATGTCAACTTGAGACGACATGATGGGGAGATTGCATATCGGTACCAGTTCGTGTTGTGCGAAGAAGATGACAACCTAACCGCCCGCGACGAGCAGATGGTAATTGATCTGTACGACATAGGTAAAGAACCCGCATTCATCCTACTGTGTTCAGAGGAATGTAATCACTTCACCCATCTAGCGGCGAAGCACGATTGCACCATCGTCACTGTATCTCAGAGCGATGACCTCACTTCACCATACGGAATTGCACGTGCGCTCGCTGCTGTACGCTCGGAGAAGGATGCAGTAATGTTTGCAGGACCCTGTACAGGCGGATCAGCATGGTCGAGATACAACGCTAAAGTCAGCGATGCGATAGCTAAATCTATAGAGCTTAAGCGAGCGCTATACTGGGACCTCTGGGAACGTTTTGAAACTGTTATGACTCATGTTTTGAGGATCGGCGCCGCCGCACTGTTTGAACTACCAAGATACTGTGCCTACTGGAAAGATCAAAAGGTTCAACGTTTGTTGAGCGGCACTGATTGCGACTGTCATGTGTTTGATGGATGTATGTATGGGTTAGGTGCTGAGTTCAACGATTCGCATTCCGACAAGAAACTCATCAAGAAACCTTGGAAAATTGTATCATGGAATCTTGAGTTTGGCAACCAGCTCAGCAGAACATGTGACAAGAGCCATAGCCATAGAGATTGTGCAGGTAAATACACTAAGACTACTCAATTATATAATAAGAAGATAGTCGGCATTATCCTGAAGACCGTGACCAAGAGAGTCGCTGAATTCCAGAAGTCTGAGAAGATGATGCATGCCGTTCCGTGCCTTATGATTCGAGCCTTGGGTAGTTCCTTCAACGAACGATCAGTGTGTGATGCAACATCAAACGAGAATGTATACACATGTGATGAGCATGGGACACAAATATCACACGCACGACGGATCGAACCACATGGCATTCATGATCGTCAGGCATGTTGTGTTTGTTTGTGTGACCACGGCACTGCTTCACCCGTACGCTTCAGCGACGTGGCTATGGCTTCTGTTGGTGGTGTCATGAACTATAACAGCAACACGAGCGGCTACCCGACTTTCATCATCAAGATCCTCGATGGCCTGGTTGAGATGAAGGAGAGAGGGCAGATCACCCTACCTCCAAGGATGTCAAGGAGTACGCATGGGTTGGATGTGGTTGAAGCATGGATTGCCGTCGGCATTCCTCCGCTCGTCCCGTTATCCATCAACTATGCAATGTCCAGGACAAAATCCGATGACACCAAGTTCTTGACCGCTTCACTGAAGAAGTTAGTGGGCTACATGAACGAGGAAGAGAAGAAAGAGAAAACTGGCGACTTGGCAAGACGCTATAAGCTATCCATGGCCACCATTAAGGGGCGCTTCGGGAACGATGCGAGTGGGGTTTTCAGCAACCTTTCCCGCTACCTCGTGGAGCCTGAGGAGATTGGGGCGATCGATGACTTATGGGACGACGTCCGCGACTTCATCAACAGCGGCAGGCTCAATGACACTATGGTTGCCTACCAGCAATGGAGGAACCTGTCCGGGTCGGCCAATGAGAGCATGAACATGCGTGAAGCCGCGGATCCGTCGGATCACGTCTATGCTACCCGCCTCGAGGGTTATTACACGATCTTCAGCTCGATCTTCTTTCACACCTCTGACAAACTCACCAGTCGAAACGCGAAGGAGAAGGTGCAAGAGCTGATAGAGACGGTGAACAGAGAAGTCCGCAACATGGCACTGGCAATAAGGGTCCACAACTCGGACAGCGCGTTGGACAAGATCCACGTGATCGATGTGCTCGAGGACCTGATTGCCAGGAAGAGAGGGTTGCCAAAATACAGATCGGCGGCTCAGAACCATATGGGGACCTTTCTAGGCTCCATGAGTGTAATGGTACAATACCTTGACAACTGCAAGCCTCCGGTAGCCCTGATAATACCAGAAGAGCTCAGATTCATGAGGGAAAAAGTCATGCCGATGATCAATGAGTGGATCCCGGTTGAACCCACAATGTTTCGAGTTCAGTACAACGCAGCTGCGGCGGAGAGCGGAAGGCAAAATGAGTACAACCGGCGGAGCAGCGCCTTCAAATCCTACACCGAATACATCGAGGAGATGAAGAAGAAAATCGAGGACAAAGTTATCCCCTCGTTACCATTTTGGGACATGGTGGAAAGTGAAGGTCCTGAGCCCCCTGACGTTGCTCATAGGCCAAAGTGGTGCCCGCCGCTTCAGATCTACGGTGACTTTGCTAGGCCGAAGGCCAAACCAATGCCTCGCGCGCCAAGACCTCCTCCACCGTCGTCGTCATTTGAACAGCAGAACTTCTCGGAGCGTCCTCCCGACAGTTCAACTGGACATGGGCCGGCGTCCTCCAAGCGGTGGGGAAGGACAGGTGGATCAGAATCCACCGGTGCGGCATCAAGGGACATCTCAGTCACTACATGGTTTAGAATGCCGTTACCGATGTGGTCATCCAAATACTACGTATTTGGGAAGGACTATTTTTCGCGAGACATGAAGGTCTACGCAATGGTCAGCACCAATCAGGTGCCATCCGGGCACATCGTAGAAGGTCCCTGTACCATTAACGGACAGATGACATGGTTGCAGTACCTACGAAGGTTGACGTCGTATTTGATGTTCTGGCATGGGGAGTATACCAAGAGACGGTGATCAATCGGAACTACTACAAAGAAGACGCCCATTGGTTCGCTCAATATACCAACATCTACGACTCAACACAAGTGTCACTTGCTGGAGGGCTACCATCTCCGAGAACGCTATACAACCTTTGTTACCCAATGGAAGCCAAGGTGACTGATGAAGCGGAATTGGAGCTGAGGATGCGTGAGACATTGAAGGGCTTCATCCCAAGTGTCACGTGTCAGCCAGCAACTCGCACCATCGACGGTGAGAGTGTGCACTGTGAGTTCATCGGCGCCATGAAGACCAGTAAGGTGATTTTGATGTCTGACTTCGAGTACATCACCAAATCGAATTCCGGAAAACAGACAGTGTTCGCCCAGAGCTTATTGTCACTTGGATGGGATAAGGTCATCAACATGTCTTGTACGCCTGAGTACAAGAAAGGAGCGATGACGGATCCATATGGTTTCATCAACTTCGTTCGTGATCGAATCGATGATGTCAAACGCCATGAACCCACCTCCATCCATGTGTGGTTGTCGTTGAGCAATCTAGTGACTGCGGGCGAGAAGGGGACATACAAGACTGTGATTGTTCCCACGGACTTCGTTCCAAGACTCAGGGATGTGATCGTCGAGCTTGACGCATGCTGCCAACTACCTACCTTCGTGAGGATTTGCGCAGACGTGGAATTTCACCATGCCGTCGGTTCGTTCGGTAAGATCGCCAACATGATCAAGGACGAGCTATCGCTGAATGGCATGATGTCCACAACGTCGGACAGATTCTGGCGGGCCGTTTCGGTCGCCGGAAGCGGTCACCCCTACTCTATGAAGTCTGGAACCTCTTTGGTCCACGCTGTCATGGAAAAGTACTTGTTCAGAGAAAAGATGCTCGCTTCTTGCTTTATGGC